TGGGGGTATTGGTGGGGTTACTAGGGGTTCTGGACCCAAAAAAAAAAAAAAAAGTTTTTTTTTTGGGGTGCCGACGACCCCCCCACCGGTAGGTGCCGACCAGTCAAGGGCCGCCGACCGTCGGGGTATGCAACACTGTTTTGAGGGGGGGGGGAAGATATCACCATTGAACTGACCAGCCCCATGCAATTCAGAATTATCTTTTTCTGATCATCTGATTGCATCTGGATAGAACTTGGGTCTGTATTCCAACAGCTCATAGGTGTACCAACTGAGCGAGGCCCGTTGATTCTTTTTCTTGTTAAAAAAATATAAAAAAATATAAAAAATGGTCCGATGGACCACGGATCAAATGTTTAATATCTTCAAACCATGACAATGATGTCTACTTAGTACTTATTATTTCTCGGGGGGGCATACTCACTCTAGGCCTGTATAATTGCAGAAATCGCAAAATCAGGGGCCAGTTAGGGTCATTCTAAGAAGGAGGAGTGGATCTGATCGTTGAATTTGCAATTCTGCGATTTTAAGGGCCTTAGATCTTCACCCGAATGAAACGGCTGGTCGTTATAGCTGTGAGCTTAGGGCAACTTTAAGTCTAGATGCAGTGACGACGGTAGTGTGAGTATTGTCGCATTGTTGTCGGTAAGTTTTTTTTTTTTTTTTTTTTTTTTTCACTATGCATTTGATGTATTTGGGTATTGTATTCAAAATTTCAAATTCCAAAGTCTGAAGATTTATTTCCTTTTTTGCTAAGCCTTGTCAGGCACTACTGCTGCTGCTACTACTACTGAGCACATGCCAGTGCATCAGCACTGCATCCAGTACAATCCATGATGGCTTGGGATCAAGCATAGCAGTAATTCCATCGATCTCTTGCTGTTATGTATCTGGACACTTTTTCCACCTTGAGGCAGCTGGATAACATTCTGTCTTGATGTCAGCTTTCTTCACCATCAGCTACACTTGGAGGACTGTCCTTCCTTCTCTCTCTCTCTCTCTCTCTCTCTCTCTCTCTCTCTCTCTCTCTCTCTCTCTCTCTCTCTCTCTCTCTCTCTCTCTC